GGTTTCCTGTGAACTCGCTGTTTGATGTTTCTACCTGCTATTGAACATGACTTCTGTCTTAACCCAACTGTCACTCGCTCCCTGTCCCCTTTTATCACTCCGAATGTTCTCGCTTCACCTTTTTTCATCAGTAAATCTACCTTCACAGCCGTTTCACTCATTCCCCTTTTTCAGGAGAGGGGGGCAAGGAGAAGTTTGCTGTGGGCAATTTTTTTTTTCTTACCTTTGCTTGTGTTGTACCGTGGCCATAGAACAGGACTTTTTTTGGTTTGTGAGATGCAGACTATGTAAACCTTGAACTGTTTGTTACATTATTTTCTATGGAGACTAGTTAAAGCAGTAGTGTGACATTTGAGGATAATGTTCATTGATACCAGTCTCATATCAGTCCACTAAATATGAACTTGGAGCCAGCATGTGAGATTAGCACCAAAAAAAGCACCTACTTGTAAAGCCCACCCTTTGTTTTAGTATGAAACAAGAAGCAATGAATCCTCCTCCCCAGCTGCTGGTAGGTGGATTGTGTTTGGACATAGCTATGTTAGCTGTTTACCCCTGGATCCAGTCTTTATGTGAAGCTATTGACAGCTACTTCCTTAAAGTAAGAGACGTCCTAAAGTCACGACTGCTCCACTAGCTTCTGTAATGCAACACAAATTTCTCATTCAGCATTTAATTCAATGAACTTGGGGAAATAACTGGCTGTGTAACAGGGGTGTATACCTTCTCTAAGACATGATAAACATCTATTGAATCCAAAAATCTGTGTTCTTACCAGAGGCAAACAACAATTACTTTGGGGATCCTTACCAGCATAACAGCACCTGTCATCTAATTTTACTTAAAGCTGTAAATAGTGAGTATTTAGTGAGCTCCTATAAATAACAAATAGTGACATATCTATTTTTAGGACCACACAACATACCATTGAGTAGGTATTGTGCCATTAGTGAAATTATACATTTCAAAGGGATTTTGAATGAGGTTTTTTTATTTTGGCAATTAAGTGCAAGTGCGGATACCCTTAAAAAATATATTTTCCATACTAACATAGTTAAATCACAATTTTAAATGGGATAGTTGTTTTTTGCAGAATAGATGCAGGTTTGCATTTTTTCCAGTTTTCAGCCTTATGCTAAGCCAAGCTAACCGGCCGCTGGCTGTAGCTTTACATTTCACGAGTGGTATCGTTCTTCACATCTGAGTATTTCCCAAAAATGTCAAACTATTCCTTTATGTTACCTGTGAATCACTTGAATGCACACTGATATTCGTGTTGTTTAATTTGTTCTCAGTATAAAGAGTATCACATCTTTGTAACATGCCACCTCTGGCACTCATATATTTTCCTTTAGTGTGTAATTTGAGTCATACAACTCCAGCATATATTTTCACTCAGGCATGAAATTACATTGTTTAGTTATCAAAGGCTTTGTGTAATTACATTTGTGCAATTCAGGATGACAGGGCTGATAGTGTCTGCACAAGACGCTGGCATACATAATCACAGCCAAAATCCCATTTGGGAGAATGGAGACCATTATTATGGAAATGACCTTTGGGTGACAAGAATTCAGTGGGATAAAAGACTATGTAATCCAGACAAAGACACTGTGTGAAGCCGTTCTCATTATTTTCTCCTGTGAAAAATTAAGAAATTAAATTTGTTTTATGAATGGGTGTTGTTTTTTTTAAATTTCACGTTCTTAACTAGCGAGTAGGAAAGTGGGATTTGTAATTCGAGATTTGAAGAAATGACACATTTCTTCCTGCTTTTCTTTCTTTTTTCATATTGTGGGTAACTGCAGGGCTAAGATAGCACGAAAAGATGTGTGTGTTTTTTTCACTGTGGCACCTTTGCTGAGAGAACATACTCACCTTGGGATTACTGGAGTGTCAGGCTGAATCTCTGTCTGTTTGTTTTGAGCCATGCTTTGATACTCTCACACTAAAGAGGCAGCTTCATAAATTCACATTGTGTCAAATAAATCAATAGATCCCATTAGCTGAGGAAGTTGTGTAGTGCAGTACTTGAGGGACCCCGGCCCCCCCTTGTTTAGACATTTCTCCAGCAAAGGCGATGGCAGAGGAATACGAGTTTGGCTGCTGATCCATACAGACAGCTCCAGCAGTTGAAATGGTTTGGCTGACTGGTCCCAGTTGGTCTTTAGCGCAGTCTCCACTGTGCTGCCAGCCCGGGTCTTCAGTTGAACAGGAAGAAGAAATTTGCTTAGACAGTCACAGCCTTACAAGCCTACAGCACCAAACTCTTCCTGCTCAATCAGTTGGTTGTCGTGCAAGAAGAAAAGTTTTTGTATTTCAGTTTGTGACATTAAACAACTAAGATAAAAAAAAGTCACAATGAATAAAGAGCATATTTAATGGCCAACAGGACTTTTAGTTTTAGCACAGATCACTGGGTAGATTATTCTCATTTCATAATATTTAGAGCCCGAGTAGTTTGGAGTTTGCAATATTAGCAAATAACAAATAATCCTCCATTATCGGTATATACCAAGATATTAGATATATATATCTACAATGCCTATATATTTGTGAAAACAGAAATACAACCAAATATATAGAAATGTAATTGGGAAAATAAACATACTTTTTAAATGTAAACTTAAATGCACATTAATACCAATATGTATTGAAAGACCCATATTGGCAGATTTTATTGGCCAACTGATAAATGTCAGTTATTCTGTAAAAATGTCAGAAATCAGGGAAAATGCCCCAGGGATCAAGTTGAATGTCTTGTTTTGTCGAACAGTCCAAAATCCAAATATTATCTGTTTACAAAGTCTTGTAGCGTAGATGATTCTTTAAATGTTAATCATGTTAAAATGATATTGACAGGTCTTAGAATAATGCGTGACCTCTGCACTCACTCAGTGTCCCTGTGGTGGAAGCAGGTTATGGACTCACCTGCTTTTATTGAAAAATTGCCTTAAAGAAAGTCATATTGAAATGACAGCATACACAGTTACCTATTGAAATAAATTAACTCTGGCAATGTCATGGCGTTTTCATGAATTCGATTTTTCACAGTGCAGAATAACAGGAAGATGAAAGAGAATAGGGCATGACATGTGCTGTGGTTGTGATTCCGTCTCAGAGCCATACTGATGTACGTACATGGCATGCCTTCCAACCCACCACCTATCAGAGCTGCAGGAGATCGTTTTTAACTCCTCGATACAAGTGGATTTCATCTCTTGCTGTTAGTAAAGCACATATCAAAGCTTTTATTCATATGACTGTAGAGTTTCCAGTTCATAAGGTACACTTCTACAATCTAATGCCATTTAATACACCAGCCCTGCAATAACTTATGTCCAGTTCAGGCTTATTACTTTTGTAGGCACTATTATATGGCACTGGGCTTCATTGCTCTATATAAAAACAAATTGATTATATAATTAATTCAAATGAATCTTTCTTTGGTTGTTTAAGGAAAAAAAATTGTTGTGATTATTGTCACAAGTCCAAATAGAGTGCTGGTTGTTTTCAACCTGGGCAGATTAGTTAGAAACAGCTTTTACAATGATTGTCATCCCTGTTCTCAAAAATGAGAGACAAAAAAGAAACTTCAGGATCTGAATGACAAAAAAATTTGAGAAAATTGCTCAGTACATAAACGAAAATAAATTAGTTTATCTCACAGAACACATCAATGATGATGCTCCACCTAAATCTCATTAGAAAACAAGGCATCTTGGGCAAAATAGGAGACAAGGTTAGCAAAAGCATGCAGCAGATTGAACCATGCGTACAGCTTAACTGTATGAAAGCTCATAATCCCTGTAAACATCTTCAGGTAAGATAAAAATCAGCCTTTAGCATGGACTAAATTAAGTAAATAGAAGCAAATACATTTTTAAAAGATTTCTCTGTTAATTATATATAGAAGTGAGTTGTGTGAGTCGGCTGCTAACAAGGCTTGCACATTTTGAACCAAGCTATTTGATGGTTTTGCCACCCTGCCGTTTTTGGGTAACAGTTAAGTTCGCTTTAAATATAGAGCGTCTGTTCCCCCTTCCAACCTTTAACACCACAACAGATGGAGATAATATGGAGCTTGGAAGGCTTTACCTCAGAGGTGGTAACAGTGAAGCCACTCATTAGCACTGAATTTAACACTTCGTTAGCAACGCAACTTCCTGTAGAGAGAGACCAGCCCTGGATGTCAAATCCACTGAGCATACATTTTACACTAGAACAGCTTTGGACAGCAGTGCAATCAAGATTTATTATTCACATGCTGAACTGTATGATGAATGTAATCCTATTAAATCACTCAAAATATATATTTTTTTAAGTTTGTCCAAATAAATATGAAATTATACAAATAATAACAATTAGTCTGCCAATGTGTGTGTGCAAAGGTGCATGTTTTCTTTGTTTAAGTCTGTGTTTGTGTTTTAGACAGATTGTGTGCCTGCCAATTTGTCAGGATCCAAGTAACAACAGTCTCATGCTGGGATCTGTGTTGGCACCATCACAGAGTGATAAGACGCAATGTGATCTCATTGGAGGTGTACTTTGTTCCCATGGAAATTGGTCAATTTTAGCAGACGACTGAGAACTTTAGGTGGAGAGGCAGGAAGGTTGCATCCCGGAGGTACGCTCACATAATTAAGCATCCTCACCAGGGTATTCAGGGCTAACAGCAGGGTTTGTTGTGAATAGTGGTGACAAAAGAGGGTGTTGGAAAATCATAATGCGCCACAGAATAATACCGCTCTCATTTCACGGAGCAGTGGGAATACCCCTGAAAAAAACTGATTTTTAACATAACCATTTTGTCATTGTGAATAAGAACTAGATTTTACCTGTTGTGCATCAGTGTTTTATTTTCTACACTTTTCCTTTTTCAAAATTGTTCTCAGATGATTGAATACTGCATTCAATGAAGGAAAATATGCTAAGCCTGCTTGAAATTATTACAAAAATGGCGAGCTTGTAATAATTTTGTGATATTCTTTGTATTTCAGAAATTAATGCTACTATGTCTGATATGAAGCAAAATGCACAAGAGGACAAAGAGGTGGAAATAGTGTCTGACACCCTGGGTCATACTCAGGAGCCACTGCAGAGTCACACATTCTGTCTGAAAAACAATGCTGCAGGTCTGTCCTCAGAGGAGCACGAAAACCCTTTAAATGGAACCCAGCCGAATCCATTTGTATACAGCAGTGTCCCCGCTGTTCCCCATGCAGGCAATTCATTGCCTTCAGGAGCACTTGTTAATGGACCTGGTTCACACCCCACCTCAGAGGTACACTGTGTCCTGAACAAAGGCACTGTTTTATCCAACAATGTCCTGGATGCCGTGTGGCAAGTGGAGAAGGACACGAGCCCCGAGGTGTTACCACCACCTAGTGAGCTTCAATCAGACGCTTGGAAGAACACAGCGGGGCCCGCTGTAAAAACACTGGCCACACAGCCAGGTGTCAACACGCCACTGTCTCACTTGGAGGAGAATGAGTCTAAACTGGCCTATTCCACACTGTCAGGTGACAGTGCAGAGCAAATGCCCATTAGCAAACCTCGGATAAAACAGACAATAGAAGCGGGATCTCGACACAGTGCTGAATGGTCACAAAGCTCCTCTGATGATAATGGTGATTTTGAAGTAATCAGATGGGATCCAACAACAGAGTGCTTCTTGCACAGTGGCAGAAGGCTTGAGACCAGAGTGAAGCACCAAAGAGAAAAGCAGCACACTACACATGTAAAAACCATGGCAGGCTCCCCAGAAAAGGTCAACAACAGTTTAAATCACTCGTACAGACTTCCCCGCCCTGGTAATGATGTTGAATATGTTGACATTGCCAACAAAGGTGATTCTTTGGATACACAATCAGGTATTAAATATTCTGTCATACCTTTCAGAGATCTGTCAAGGAACAGAGTGTTAGAGTCTGAGCAGCGTATTTCTGGTGTAGCACAGGAAGGCTCTAATGAGGAAAATGACCCTGAAGATGAAGACAGTTTTCATCAAAAAGTGGAACAGTTGAAAGCAGAGCAACTTGAACAAGATCCATTCTTCTTCTCATGCACAATATGCAATGTTAATTTCATGGAAAAAAGACATTTCCATAGACATATGATGTATCATTTAGGCAAGCATAATCAGGTGAAGAGTGAGAATGTTTCACAGGCCTTTATATGCAGGGAGTGTGGGCGTTTGTTCTGTGATAGCAACTCCCTCATGAAGCACATCATTATTCACCAAGACAGGCTGGAAAAACTTAGGGAGGAAATCAAAGGTCTCAAAAATCCAGAATTTGAAGACAGAGGCACCACAGTGCAGTGCTCTCACTGTGTATTCGGTTGTAATTGCCAGAAAATCTTTGTCCAGCACGCCAAAGCAGGCGATAATCTGAAGCACTACTACTTTTGTGAGGAGTGTAACTACATTACACTCACTCAGCAGGCACTCGAACTGCACCTACATGTCGCACACCTCAACACACACCGGCCTCAGTGCCGGAAAATGACTCATACTAATGATGCAGAGGAAGCAGACCATGTTCAGTTTCAGTGTAAAATGGGGTTTTTCACCAGCAGAGACAAAGTAGAGTCAGAAAGACATTCTAAGATGGAGAACCTGCGATCACGCATTCTGGATGACAAGTCCAGAATTGCTGCGTGTAAAGCAAATCTGTTAAAATCTGCCTTTGGAGAAACTGCCCATTCCACCCATTGTTCCACTGGAAAAAAGGACATTTACGTTAAGAAATCTACTGACAAAAGTTCTCCTCAGTTCAAGTGGCATGTTCGCTGCACCAAAAACAAACTGTCACCGTCTTTGTGGAGGATCAGCAAACATGGAAAATTACTCCTGCAACCAGCAGGTAAATTAGATGTGGCAACTGATCTCACCTGTGTGGAAGAAGATGCTGAACAAAATGGCCGCAGGGCATTTGGCAGCTCAAAGCAGGCAAACTGTCCTGCAACTGCTGATTTTTTACTGTCAGCTAGAAATCTTAAATTAGACCAGATGTTCTTTGAGGGTAGCAAGAGCGACCCGGAAAGCAGGAGCTTACCAAGCAAGCAAGCAAACCAAAATTCTCCATCAATGAGAAAAATGTCAACACCTAAGCATAACACTATTGACAAAATGAATGGTAGTATATTGCCAAGGCTTAGCCAGAGGCATAAGAAACATTCTGCAGTTAGGGAGTTGGAGGAGGGCTGTGAGGGCGGCCATAACTTCTGTGATGACACCAGCAAAGCTACAGGCAGCTTCTTGGAAAGCACTGAGAATGAAAGGAACCCGTATGCTCGGAAGTATTTCAAAAAGAGGCAGAGGTTTTCAGCTAAAGACCAAAGCCCCCATATCCTCAAGGATGAAGGTGATGGAGATGAAGACTGCAGTGACATAGAGCAGCTCATAATCAAGGAGGAGTATATCGAAGCTGTGTGTGATGATTCCTCAGGATCACCTCGCACGTCTGAGAGTGATGGGTTTGATGTTTTCCCCTCGCAAGTGGTAGAACACAGGCCCTGTCCATACTGCCCCGCCATGTTTCAGTCTGGAGTGGGTCTGTCCAATCATGTGCGAGGGCATCTTCATCGAGCTGGCTTGAGCTATGATGCTCGGCACATGGTTTCACCAGAGCAAGTAGCGCTGCGGGACCATCAGCCACAGACTCGCAGGAGGATCCATACTGGCGTGAGGAAAATGAGAAAAGGTATGAGTTTTAATTATTCTCGGGACAATAGTTTTTTGTTTATAACAATGGGGATGAAAATGGCCTTTTGTCCCCAAACAGCAACTGTTCAGTCATATCTTATTATCATTATCATTATCTTACAACCTAAGTGTATATTGCAGGCCCTTAAACCTGCAAAAAAGTGCAGGAAGAGTAATACTCATCTAAAGAGTAGCCCAGCTAGAGGGGCACTCAGAGAGGTGTGAGGTATGAGGTATACCTGCCAAGGCTGATTTGCCAGTTAATCACAATTTTGCATATACATGTATTGAAATGAGAGATGCATTCAGATCATTATCTGGATGCTTACCAAGTTTCCCCTGTCCATAGATCATAACACTCTGCAAATGCCTGTTTTTCTTCCCCTGATCTTGCATAATTTCTTGAGAAAAAAAAATCATTATTTCGTAATGTTAAAGAAACTGAAAAAATTATTATCCTGATTCCACCTCCTTAATCGGACCTGCTCCAAAATTCAATGTGTATATTGTCCCAGCCACCAAGAAGGTTCAAGAAAGATTGGTTGAGTAGTGTTTGTGTAATCCTGACAGACTAACAGGAATTAAACAACCTCTTGGTGGAGATAAAAAACAACAACGCTAATTTAGGGATAGAATAGTTTAAACGTTCATTTTAAAGTTGAAAGTAGCATGCTACCAGGGCAGCATATTCGCACATTAACGACAACGAACCAGTATTACATCCAAAGCTAAGGAGCATTTGACATTGGATTATTTTGTGGTATTAAAAAAAAGCTAGCTCATCTACTTTGTTGTATTTCCACGCTACATAAGACCAAAGTCTTAATGCTTCTATTTCAGAGTTGCAAATGGGAGCTTACTAGGTTTTATTACATGATGCTGTAAAGGAAAGCTTCTGCAATGCAACAAATCCAAAAATAATTAATACTGCTTTACACACTATAGCTTGGTGTTTTGATGTTTCATTTCAATCACTGTGACAAATTGTATTTTATAATGCAGCTATTAAGGCAGAAACCCAGGGAGAGCACACATGTCCGCTGTGCTGGAGTTGGTTTGACACTAAGACTGGCCTCTCCAACCATGTGAGGGGACACCTTAAACGAATAGGTCGATGTGTTACCAGCACCAGTAAGTCCCCACTGGGCATCCTGAATGATCTGCTACAGGACAAAAAGGAACATCAGAACATACTCCGGGTCCTCAACAAGGGCCAGATCTCCCCAGGACCCTCAGCTTCTCCGAAGTTCATCAGCAGCAGCAGCCGCCTGGTCTTGATGCGTACTGCACTACCAGTGAAGATCAAGTATGAGATAAAGCGTCCACATGCCGCAGGGGATGGATTTGTACCAAAACAAGAAGCAAAAGCCTTTCCAGAGAGGAAGGAGCCCCAGACAGAAATGCAAAGAGGCATTCAGGCCTCCTCAAGCACTTTAGTTGAACTGCTCAAGACAAGACAGGGAAGTATGGAATTTACAGCAAGAAACCAGGAGGTCTTTGGTGCCAGGAAGCTCTGTAGTATGACCAAAGATTACAAGGAGGAGACAAGCTGGACTCATGGTATGGAGTCCTATACTTTGAGCATGACAGCAATTTCATGGTTGAGCAGGTTTTGCATGGTGTAGTATATCAGTAGTACTATACAGATCAGGCAAGTTCCAAGTTCCCTGCAATCAAAGAAGTAAAGTAGCAAATGAATCTTACACAATTGGAATGTGATGAGTGGTATATTTGAGCATAACTACTCAATGTAATAATAGGTTTGTTTTTTCTATAGAAGTATGCCAAACATGATTTTGGTTCTATCTACCTGTGTAATGTGTAAGTTATTAAGATATTTACCACTTTTAATTCTTAACAAATGCACCCATACCTCTCAAATAATATGGGCCTTTGGTTCTGGGTGCTTCTTATTTGCTTTTGGATTTGGAATACTACTTAAATATTGTAGCACTGTGTATGTATAATATCCCCCTTAACATCTTTATTAAACCCCTTTCTCTCATTGTAGTTGTATTTTAAATGCTGCATATTTTGGGTGTTTAAAAGAGACAAATACTCATTAACATTTTAATTCAGGTTAATCTAATTAACAGGAAAGTGCATGTGAGCCCTCAGGATATGATCACAACAGTTGTTCTTAATGTCTGCACTGCTTGATGGGACGTTAAATCTTTAACTGCAGCAGTTATATTAAAGTTATTTAATGCCATAATATTAATTTCTCATCTCTGGTGCTTAGTTTGAATTGTGGCAGGTCCAGCATATGTTATGCGTTTGAGTCAACAACACTATTTTTGGGACACGAGTCTAGAAAACTAAAATGTTTTACCACTGATCTTACAAATGCAAAGATAAGGGCAGGTAGAATTTTTTTTTTTTCATTATTAACAGTGAGGGACCAATTTCAGCTTTGTTAGATTGTAGTGCACACTATGTATTGCAGAGGGAATAGTGTTTGTTTAATCAATATTTTATGTCTATTTATTCACAGTATCTCAGTCCAGAAACCTTTGCACTGCAGGAAGAAGCAGCAGCTTAAACAATAGCTCATCATTTTTTGATTTGTGGAAAAAACCACACATTTTAGATTAATTGTCACCAACGCGTTTTTGAAGTTGATATTAAAAAATCATGAGGATGCTCTTGATGTTGAGTTGGAAGCTCATCATCCATGTTTGCACAATTTCGATTAATCTATATCCAAATCAAACTTTCAGTCAGGCACTGGGAGAGAAAACTGAATTTTGAATGCAACATTAGTCTAACATTAAGCTGTTAATGACAACACATTTTCATTATCGAGTTGTTCACACTGTATCATGACTGTAAGTCAATTTGAATAATAATTAATTTTAGGATCATTACTTAAAAATCACAGTTCTGATTTATTATCAGGCAGCAGTATCAGTTTTCTGTCATATAGGAATAACAGACCTGTGTGTGTGTCGGGGGGGGGGTTGTGACTCTCATGAGGTGCTGTATGTGACACTAGTCTCCCTGAAGACATAAGATTGTGTTAAACTTTAACAGTAACACTTTTCAAACAGGAAAGTGCAAATCTGATGTTTGAAATGAAAGCAGGTGAAAGAAGACTCGAGACCACACTGGGATTAACAGTTTTGGTTGATAATAAAATTACTGCATGAACTCAAACACTACCCCACAGTGCTGTTCTCCATAATGCAATCTAACTTTTGATCATCCTAAACCATTAGGCACAAGTGTAAGATAAACTGTTTCGAAATGAACGCCGTCCAATCAATATTTCCATTAAAGCATACAAATTAAGCTAATGGGAAGATGTTTTTTTATCCATTTTATCTTGTCCTATCTGAGATAAATGTAGCTTTTCATTGTTCTGTCTTTCAGGAGAATGTGATTCAAATAAGATTTGTAGTCAGTGTAACAGCAGCCTCCCTGCTGCTGTCACTCTGTCTGGTCATCTTCAAGCCTTTGCATGCAGGAAGAGGATTGCTGTTTTTGAAGAACCAGGTAGATTTCTGATAAAGGCAAAATGTGGTGATATGTGTTTCCTGTCCTCTGTTCAAAATTGTGGTTTAAGTGTATAAAAGATGATCGTAGATCTGCATAGAATGTTTACAATGAATGCTGTATTGGTAGTTGTTTTATGAATTAGCTTGTCACCCCAACATACTTAATAACTTCATGAAGGATTTTATGTTGACCGGAATATAATTTGGGATTTGGGATTATGTATTTATTCTTTGGCAGTAATAACATAATATGTTAATAACACAGTGTCATGTTTTGTATTTTAGGCTATGATTATAAACAGAAGAAGCCAAGACCAAGGCCTGGGTTAAAAAAGAAGATTTTACCCTGCTTGAATGCTCAGATATACACACTCACCTGCAGGTACATAGAGTGGAAGGTTATATATGTAAAGCAACTTCTCTGAGTGGAGACTAAAGTGAGGAAGCTCTACCAAGTTATCGATTTCATAAATAGTTACAGGACTAGTATCTCACCAGCCTCCCAGTACACGGGTTGATCTGGAAGAGCATATATATATCGTTTCTGTGTCTGCATGGTGGCAAGGGTCCACAGGATGTTAACTTTATCACCTGCCCACATCTGGGAAAATCCATGTGGACCCTTTTGCAGTTTTCCATTTGCAGCCTAAATGTTTTGACATCATGGAATATATGCACTTCAGGTAAAGACAGTGCTTATGCTAGGAAAGCCCATGCAGTGAAATACAACAAACAAATAGTCAGCATCATGTATAATTGTGTAGTCTGCACGTGTGGAAGTTGCCTGTTTATGCAGATCCCTAATGCGTGTGTGTGCATATCTGCATGTAAGTTTGTCCATATCTGTGTCCATAGTAAAGTATGATCAGGCTTACAACAGCCCACTAGTCAAAAACAGTTTAGCTATAACAGGACCTCCACTGATGAGCAACACAAGCAATATTGCATTTGTCTTGCGTCCAATGCCACATCGTACTTAATCCAGTAGGAAAGCCATGCCTCTGATAAGAGACGGCCCAGAAGCTTGGACTCAAACAACTAACTTGTGTATGGAATAGAGGAAGTCAGATTAGCTGTATGTCAGTACAGGATAAGTCTGTCACAGGACTGCCAACGTCACGCAGACTTTAATTTGTTACAATTGACAGCGAGAGCCTGAGAGAACTACATTACACTTATGGCAAGTGCCATCACCTTGTTGACAACCAATTCCAGGGTTGCACTGAAACCGAAGCCCCAACTCAAACCAAACGCTCCTACTACCTGTGTAAGTAGATGAACGTAGTGGTTGCCCCTTGGCTAACAGCTTGGTCAAAACCTGTTCCAGAGTCACTGGGGAAAAGGAAGCATAAGACTGTATGTGACAGTAAACTGAACAGTCAATATGACACACAACATGAATTCTGAAAAAGTATTCTGAAGTGACAAATCACAGTTTGGGATCAACAAGCTCCAAGAAATGTGGTCACTGAGAAGGACCCTCTCTTTGCTCATTTAGAATGTGGACATAAGTGCTTCCAATCTGCTGACACAGATAAACACAGGTCTGATCATGCACATGGTTATTGTCAGAGTTGTTTTAAAATCTCGATTGCTTTTTACTATGATGCACCTAATTGATTGTCTGCTTTTCAAACACTGAAGCACTAATTTCTGAGTTAGCCACAAACACGATCATTGGCGATTAAGAAGTAGGTCTGTAGTGCAATACCCTAGGATTGCGGGATTTGGAAATTGACTTCCATGTTTCATAGGTTGACACCAGGCTTCCCTCTTCTGCTTACCCTGTCCTAATTGTTTTGGGTTGCTTGTAAGAGTGCCCTAAATTGCCCAGACTAAAACCCTTCTTGGTCTCTCACCTGTCTTCCATCACCACCACCCCCTGCAACCGGCCTACAGGTCCTTTTGTATCAGTCTGGCCACATCTCACATAAGGGGCAGGAGCAAATACGCCTATGGGGTCTCTATCAATGAATTCTTTGAAAACAGGTGCTGTTCCATCTCCTGATCAGCCACCTTTGGTTCAGGGCCAACCTCCTGTCACCCTGAGTGAACCAAAAACACTACACCACCACATTCACTGTCTCACCCTGGCCTCACTCTTCTGAGAGGGAGAAGATTTAAGTTATGGCCACATCCTACTGTCTTAACATGTTTGGCTTTAACAGACTTTCTCTGAAGGACATACCAGCTTGTCTTCTCATACACGATGAAAGGTACTCCCTTGCTAAAAGGTATGGCATTTCAACCTGGGAAACAGCCATTGTGTTGATCCTCTCCCTGATTTTGTTCCACATATTCACCTCAAATATTGTCACATGGAATATCGGAAATGTCTCAAAAGCTCCTTACACATTGCAGTGTTGTCGGGTTTTTTTAGAACAACTACTAAAGTGTACTACTACTACTCAAGTCTAAAGCCACTTCAAAGACCACTCAGTTGGCTTGACAGTGAAAGACAGTATGATCTTTAGACAACAGCTCCTCTTCTTCAGGTTATACTGTGTTGCCCAGATGCCAAATAACCCCTTTTCTGACTAATACTCTGGTTTTAACTTAATAGGTTGCAGTTCACATCTCATAACCTGGGTTACGCCATGTACATGTGAAACATACGTAATTGGGTAGTGCAGAGATGTTGATACAACAGATAAACACTTAAATTTTTCTCTGGAAGACAATACTTGTGCATTAAGAAACTGTTTTTCTCTTACTTTACCTTTGCAGATTCTGTGACCTCATCTTCCAGGGTCCCCTGTCTATCCAGGAGGATTGGATCAAGCATTTACAGAGACACCTTCTGCAAAACAGTGTGCCCCGCTCAGGGATGGGGATGGTGGAGGTTTTGGGGTATGGGTCACAAAATACAAATAAGCATGTGTCATGAGTACCCAGATTTTGAGTAGGATTGTATGGAATGCCCAAAAGTTTGCACAGTATTTATATTACTCATTGTTATAGATTAATGTGCAACTCCTTATTGAAATATATTATGATTAATTATTTATCTGGACTACCTAATAATGGTATATATGAATAATACTGAACATATTTGTAAAAAGTTTTAATAAAGTATTTTGCCTTATACACTTAGCTAATACAACTTCTACAACTGGCAGAAACCACGGCATGTCAACATGAGCAATAACAAGCTGGTCTGCAAGTGCCATTATTTATATATATATATATATATTATATAAAACATTTTGTTAAGGTAGGAAAACATTATCATTATAAACTTTAAAACATCCAACTTTCTTGTAACATTCTAGGAAATCATTCTAGAACAACATTGTAGAAATCTTTTTCTTCTTAAATATATGACTTTATATCAAATGTTTTGCTATTAGGACAAAAGTTAAAAAGAGTGTTGCCACTGTTATATTGGATATAAACACTGAAGCTTTGCAATGCAGTTCATATCTCATTTTCTTTTAGGCCCAACATTAACATAAAACTTTTTAAGCAGTGTACACCGGGCTGTCATTCGTGTGCTGATGTTTTGTAGGATTTCACCTCTCGGAGCTCGAATCAGAAAGAATCCCTTTTAATCAAAGAGACATTGAACATGCTGCATTGTGTTGAGACAGCTTATTCTGCCATTGTTTGTTCTTCTGCTTAACCTACCACCATCAGTGTAATTTCTGAAACCTGGCTTTCATCATAGCTCTGATATGTAATGCAACAACTTTGTAGCAATAAGGAAACTTTTAAATTATGTAGACATTATGATTTTATATACATATTGGAATTTTTTGATAGTGGAAGCTCTGTTTTTCTGAAGGCTTTGATGTTGGAATTATTGAAATAATTCATTATACTAACAAGAAATATATTTAATGAGCAATCATAACACCTCTGGCCCTGAACACTTGTCCATACCTGGTTCTCCAGACTTATCATAACTCTGCAACTTTGTGCTTATTTTACTTGTAAGCAGAAACAGGTCCATACTTTCAGACAGAAAAAAGCAGCTTGAGTCTGAAGCACACAGATGGAATACTGTTCTGAACTGCACTTCAGAACATGTCCTAGTTTTCCCCCCTCGTTTTCTACATTTCCACTGTTCCACTGCACAGATCTATGGGGAAGAAAGCACTTTGTCTTTAATATGTTCTTTAATTTTGTTTAATTTTATGTGCACATCATACACAGTTTGTCCTTATACTGAATCTAGTCTGCTTTCGTCATAGCTTTTGGCTAAAACAATACAAGGAAGAAAATCATCGATATATAAACTAAATTATCTGTTTATTAGGCATGTCTAATTTATAGGTTATGTTTCATTTCTGTTTTAGATAGTGATTCAACCGAATGATCATTTTAGAGGATGCAATTTGTGTTCTGTTGAACTGAGTTGTTGACAGGTGTCCACCACATTGGAATGAGCATAGACTAATACAACTCACCAAAATGAGCATATACGCTTGAATCAGCGACTCTTTAACAGTTGCAACACACTCTGAACATTACAGCCTTCGTGAAGGAGGGTTAATTTAAGGACTGTGTTTTAGACTAAATTAGTTTTAGCTAGGTGTTCCTAATGAGCTGAGTTTATAGAGTAGCACCATAGAAAAATATACAAGGTAGATAGTGCTTTCAGCAATATCTGTTTCACATAGCAAAGGTTTATCTAATATAAGAACTGGAAAGAAATTAAATTTATTTAAAGAAATATTTAATCAGCTTTTATGACCAGGAGTCATAAAAAATATTTATCTATTGAACTGTTCTTCCTTGAAATTTTAAGTTTGTTATGCTTGATATTTTTAATTTGTAGTTATGAAGATCTCCCTTAAATAAGGTGCACTTATTTGTATCATTACAAGTTGTTAGACTATATTTGTATGTAACATAATAAACAGTTCACCTTGATTCTCTGTGCACTTTTGATCATTTTTGCACATTGTATAGATGTATTTGATATTTGTAAGGTAAGTGTAATATACTTAAGCCAAATATGGTAAATTACCTGATAGTGGTACTTAAATAAAGTAACAATGAGATGGTAACTTCTCCTGTGCTACGTAAAGATAATGTACAAGGGACAAAAGTTTTGACCAGTGCGAACAATTCATTAAGCTGCCTGAGGGTCTGGTGATTGATCAGTGCAGACGAACAGAGCAAAAACATAGAATGGGTAAGATGTTGCAGGTGTTTCCATATCTTTTCAATGAAACAGACTAAAATTCAACTGTAATGTCTGCAATTGTGTTTCCTGGGTTTATCAATGTTGGGTCCTGTATCTGTATAAATCAGAGGAAACATGAATACCGATTTTAATATTTGTGTCACAAGTGATGTGAGGTACACTGCAGTAATAAAAACAAAGACGTTGTACTAGATTTTCTGGAAGACAGTTTAATGATGCCAAGTATTCATCATGTACTCTGTAGCGTGCTGTACTTCGCTGATGATCGCAAACAGGGAAAACAGAGTAATATATTCAGGAAAAACTCATAATTCCAAACCTCATTTCATGGTGAGGTATCTTATGAACTCTAATTACAGAGCACAGACACATGCTTTTGGCAGCAGCATGACTTTCCCCCTTTCATTTGTTTAAAGGTGTGTTAGGTGATAATGATCTATTCCCTGGCCCACAACACACCACCCGATTTTATGACTAACAAACCTTTTCGGGTGAAAGACACAGATTTCAGTGTCACTTTTGCACCATTGTTCTACTGTGAAAGTAATTCCAGGGCTATGTGCTATTTTAAAACTGCAGTCGGCAGCAGTGCAGCCTGAGTGTTTGATGTATCCAGTGCTTGATAGCCATTTCTGGGTTCTCTACTTACCAGTGGCAAAGGGGGCTAACCCTGCAGTTTATCTTGGGCAGTATTTAAAGCAGCGATCAAAGCTGTACAAACCAATTGTCATCATGCGTCTCCGGAGGGAATTTTGAAGTACATTAATGCTCCTTCTTTGGGAAATAATTGTGCCACTCTGTGACTTCATTAGGTCTCCTGGCTGTTTCAAAAGATGTTCTCTCTGGAGGTTGAAAGCCACATCGCTGGCAGACAGCATCCCAAGGGGCCGAATGAATAAAAAAGGAGAGATTATAATGAGATTGAGTTAGCCATGACCGGGATTGGGCTTTTCATTATTCCACTGGCTGGAGAGGGAGAGAGCGAGAGGGAGAGGGACAAGGCTGACATAAAGAAATGTGTTGTTGCAGGACCCACACTCGCCATCTGCCATGGGGGTCCAATGGTAGGCAGCCAATGCATGCTTATCATTGCCATGGGTATCAAAGGGGCCTCCTCTCTGGAGATTGCTCCATTAAAACTGCAAACGCCAATCCCCTGCACGCACAAAACAGAAAACCTGCATTTCATTCACAAGTAACACTTGCTATTGATTTAGGAAATTAAAATTCAAGAGAACATTAGGAAAGCTTTTCATTATTTTCTCCTTTTGTTCACTAGCCTGTGTAAAGAATATTCTAAACTGAGTTATTTAAAGAAATTAGAGTCACTTTTTGTTTTCATGACATGTGGCAACATCCTGCGCTGACTAATAGGACTTTTTTGTCAGCTATAGTCTTGTTTTTTCCCCCACATTCATTGTCTGTGGCAGCAGTGATCCAGAGATCAGGACCATTGATCATGACCTGTCCTTTGGCCAGTTATTCAGAAGTCCCACAGACTGCCTGTGTGAAAAAGAAAAAAGAAGAAGAAGAAAAATCAATAGGTTTCCATTATCTGGTTGGGCAGTGTCACTGGCCTGTCAATGATCCTGTTACAGCAGTGGTACAAGGGTGACACGGGCCCACACTCAGCCGCCGCTGACAAGAGGAAAACATGCTGACAGGCACCGGGAACAAGTTAGAACACAGATTTGCACTTCAAGCAGCCGTCCGAGGAGGTATCGTGCAAGGCCACCACGCGGCAAGGGGCGAGCTCGGCTGGGGTGGAGGTGGAGGGGTTGAGAGTGTGCGTGTGTGTGTGTGTGTGYGTGTGTGTGTGGGAGGGGGTGTGGGGGGATTCCCAGCCAGCCTTCTTCTACTGTCTGACTGTCTAGCTCTCTACCACAAATGCTTTTATCCTCCTATAAATTATTCACCTCTGGATACACCAAAGGAAACTGGCTTGCACTGATTGTGGCTGAGGGGAAATTTATAAAACCTATGGCCGGGCCTGTTTGGCCACTCATGCAAAAACTCATGCAAGTCCCAACCTGAGCTTTTTTTATGAATGTCTATAACATGCAAATTGGATCATATATATATAAATTTATGTGACATCACTGATATGTTTTGTTTTCTGAATTAACATGTTTGGGATAGTCATGTGGCAGTTTGAATGGGAAATGGTCACTTTGGTGTCATTTACTGACTCCATCAGGTCTCTGAGCTCTTCTCCCCACAAAGAAAACGAGTCTCCCCTCATCAGTCAGTCCAGATGGCCGGTCAGAAATTAAGGAAGACATCAACTGTCTCTTGAAAGAGCACGAATCAATATATTTTGACAAGGATCAAATGTGCTTCAGATGAACCTTTTGGCACTCTCAAAACAATCTTCCCCCTCATGTCAAACCTCTTTATTTTTGTTTGTCTACATGTAACCACCAGATATCCCATGACTCCTGGGTTTTGAGCAACACAATTTGCTATTTAACACGTTTTAAATAGCAGGTTCTCTGTTTGACATGTTCAAAATAACACATTTCAACCTGTAAGTGTGCAGCTTGCATCTAATTGTTTTCATTCAAGCTTTTAAAGCATGCGAGCCCGGGGACACAGTGACGTCACGGGTCTAGTTAATGCGCACGAGATAAAAACCCTACATTTGATCTTTAGATAATGAAAACAAATATGAATTTTGCAATAATGAACCAGAATCTTTGACACTTTCTTCACAATTCTATAATTTCAATTACATTTTGGTCTTGATATATGATGACATATGATATATGATATATATATATATGAATGCAGAATGACAAACAATAACAACAATTTCACAATTTCATATCTTTTTTTGACATAATATATG